AAGCAGGTTGAAAGTGTATCTCTTTTGCTTTCTGCTAGACATAGACAGAATCTGGGAGATGAATTTTTATTTCCATAAAATAATTTTTTAAAAAAAGACCATGTAGAAAATATTTTTTAAAATTTCTTTTCCCGTGATACCACAGTTTAGTTGGCTTAAAGTAATTTTGTAGCTGACAGCAAATTTAAAAAAAAATATGTTGTCAAAATTTGTATTGCATTTTATGGTTTATCATTCAGGAATACATGGATACCTACATTATTGTGACTGTTATTACTGTTTATTATTATTATCAGTACTACAGTTTTTTTTTCCAGCCAAACTTGAACTGATTGGCCATGTGGTCAGATGATCTTCAGTGAAAAATCTCTAAGAAGGAGGTGAACATTTTCATCAGGGAATAAAAAGTGCAGGAAAAACATAATTTAACTTGGAAGAGCTTTAAACATGCAACTTAAGGCAGTGGAATAAAGTTCTGTAATTCCTGTTTCCAAATATGTAAAAAGGAGAGCAGGGTTTTATTCAAGCTATTTTCACCAATAAAATAGTGGCTTCTTCTGCTCACATGATTCTGAGCCATTAAAGTCTGGGCCAGATTTCATAGTTCAGTAAATAGACATAAAGGACAGAAAGTATGCAAGGAAAGACAATGAAAATTGAATTAGTTAATCATGAGTATCACACAGTCTTGGTGAAAACAGTTACTTTTACTTTTGCTTCTGCAGCTATAGTAAATTGCTTTTACATTGAAAATGCCAATGGAGAAAAATATATATTGCTAATAGTAAATGTCTATTATTATTTACTAGAGATAATTGCCTGGAAAAAGGTGCGTGCAAAAATTTGGTTGATTATCAAGAGCTGATGTTCTATCTTTTACAAAAGTACTTGACTAAAATATGATTGTGTATCTCTGCTGGGAAATACAACTGAACTGACCCTCTTCAGCATTCTGTGATGCACAGTGATAATTCCTTGCTGTCCTCTCTTATGCATTATGTAGTCTTACGTATTATATCAAGTTCCCAACATAATGCAAGTGAACAGATTTGAAGAATATACCATGATTTTATTTTAGTACCTTTCATTACTCCATTGCATAAAAGCACTTTGGAAAGCAAGGAACTAAACTCTGGTCGTTGAGTCACTATGTGCCTTGAAATGAAACATCATTTTGCACTCAGCAATAAACTGCAGGGAAACTTGAGTACAAGAATAGAATTAGGAATGGAGAATCAACTGGGAATTTAAACAGCTCTTTTCACTCCATCTTGTTTGGAGGTGTTTTTGCAAGAATGGCCCAATTTCCAGATGTGATATAGACTTCACTGAGGTTCTGAAAGATTTCAAGGCATTTTTTCGATTTTCGATTTTTTTAGCCCTTGAGTTCTGGGGAGCTGACCAGCACTGCAAGTGTCAAGATATATTGAGAGTTGTTGCTGCTAGAGGAATTCCCAGCTGTGTTCAGAAATACTGGGAGTCTTGAAAGACAAGCTGTTCTTGTATTGAATCTACTCCCATTTGCAGACCACAGAGCTCTGAAACTCATTTACTCCAACCTAAATCAGAAGCAATCAAACTGAATTCAGTAGGTAGGACTCAAAGTCAAATGAGCATAAATGCAATCTAAAGCCAGTCTTCAAAGGGCTGGATAATTTCTTGTAAAAATTTTTTGAAAAGAAGCGGGCTTATCTAAATGGAAAATAAATGTAAAGCTTCAAGTTTTCCTGTTAGCTAGAGAGCTGTGTTTTGCATGAGAGAAGAAAGCTAAAATAAGTACAAATTTTAAACATAATTATTTTTAACTTTGGAAAATCACAATTCTCTTTTTATTTTTGTGTTGTCATTTCCTCTTGGAGAAGTATAAAGTTTCTGAGTCAAATGAATCTAATTTGTTCTTTGTTATGTGATTAAGTTTTGCAGTAATTTTCCAGAGGTAAATATGGACTTTGACTGCTGTTAGGAAATATCTTTTTTGTTTTCTTATTAGCAAATCATCACAAAAATTACAGCAGCTACAGTGTGTCTATGAATTTGTAGGTATAGTTACCCCCTCTACAGGCAGTGGACGTTGAGTAGTCTAGATATTCTGGATGCTGTGTATTTCACCTAATCTTAGCTGCTAGTCGAACCTCACTCAGTGAAAAGAGTGGCACTTCCACACGGTGCCTCATCTCAGCCTTAGTTCAGATGGGGCAGATCAGTTCTGAATGTTTCTGTCTTCCTAGCTGGATGACAGAGGGAGCCCTCACACTTGCTATAAACAAGCAACAGAGCAACAAAGTTCCTTCTCAGGAAACAAACTATTCTTGCCCTCAGAAAGAAAGGAGAGAAATAGATGGAGTGGAGGCTCTTAGGGTCTTTATAATGCTACTGAATTTCCATTGGAGGGTCCTCAACCCGATCAGAGCATGTTTGTGCAGAACACTCTGTAAATTTATCCTGTGAATGGATATCTGATATTTTTAGGATGGGTACACAAAATAATCTGAAGCTTAACAAACGAATAGACAATTTGGGAAACTTTAAGCTGTGTTGCCTTTCAGCTTGACTTCTAATCTATGTTTTCCCAGATATTAAACAGTCCTTTCTTGGAGTGTTCTTCCTTCCTGAGGGTAGTCCACCACTGTGGCTATTTGGGTTAGTAAGGAGATATTCAGTGCTAGCAGCAGGAGCATCAGTCTGGCCTTAGAGAACACAACACTGAATATTCTATTTCTGTAAATGTTCTGTCACTAGCATAATAGACTCCAGTGGGCACTCATTTGATTAAACAAGGTCACTTTAGAAAGGTATTTTCCTGTGTAGGTGAAGAATTACTCTTTTTGAGTTAATAGCATATAATTGTCACTGAAGGTGTCTGAACACTATGGTCTATATGATAAACTGTTTTATCTAAATAGCTACCCTGCAAGCCCATCTCCATTAACAAATTGTCATGGTCCATGAAGGACCACAACAGAGTAACACTACTGAAAATGTAAGATATGCATTAGGAAATTAAAAAAAAAAAAAAGAAAAAAAAAAAAGAAAAAAAAGTTAAAAACTATTCTTATGTTACACTGTTATTTAATTTCTACATATTTATTACCAAACAAGAGAACCTATGCCTAGAGATATATAAATATGGAACCTTACTTTCATCCAATTGAAAAGTGAAGAACAGGGAAAGGCAAATTTTGCTTCAGTCCATACTTCTTTCCACAAGACTTTTGATCAGCCACCTTTCATGACTAGCTTATCCTATTTCTCAATTGCCAAAATTATGTAGGAATTTCATTAAAGATACAAAAAAATAACAAAACTATCTAGTTTTGCATTCTCCCCATTCAAAGTCAGGACTGTTTGAGGTGCCCTAGAGTACATCTTTCTGGGAATCTAGTACAGATATAGGTGTCATTTCAACTGCATGGACCTGATTTGGGTAGTTCTGTAATATCTGGGCTCTACTCAGAAAGCAGGCTAGGACACTGATTTGTTCAAGTGATGTTGCATGGGTATAAATATTCCATTGTTACCAACCAACATTGTTACCATTGCATCTCCCTTTGATGGTCTGAGTATTTCCATATTTCAGTCTAACATACTGATATAATCTTATCTATGCAAGCACTGAGGCTGAGCTATCACAAATTGATATATTCCTTTTTTTACCCGTATTTGTCATGGTCTTTTAGCCATTTTTAATTCAGATGATCTTATCACTAAGTCCATATGAATAAAATTTTCAAGATACTGAAATAGCTCAAACTTTCACTTCAAATTATACTGTTTCTTGTATGATTTCTCCAGTGACTGCTTTTGCATTCATGTTCATCTGCAAAAGATATTACCTGAGCCTGTGCTCCCTATTTCTTTAACCTATCTAAATTTAATGGATCTTTTCAATGAAGTGTCACTACACAATTTCAGGATGGGTAAAATGCTCACTTGTGCCCTTTTGTAGGTAAGGATTGTAAATGGTTGGGTGCCTGAGTGCAGCAGCCAAAATGCTGAATGTAAGAGTAGTGCTCGTTGCCTGCTCACTAAACCCCATTTACTCTGTCAGTGCTCCACATCAGTGTAACAAGTTGAGATATACTCTACTGCCATTTAGCAATTCCTCACTCAATGATTATATTTCTAAATACAGTTTTGGCTTTCTGCATGTGGTCTTGTGTTTCACTTCTTCCAGGGTCTTTCTGAATACTTTATCTGAATACTGAATTTGATGCTAAGTCAGTGGTAAAAAAGAAGAAAAAAACGTTCAGGTCTTCCAAGGTTTTCCAAGGTTTTCTTGCTTTTAACTTTATTGCACTATTCTTTTTTTTTTTCCTACTGTCTGCAGGTGGATCATGTGGATGTTGCAAATTCTTCATAATTAATTGCAATATCTGTTATATCTGTTATCTATTTACATGCTACATCCCTGGCAAATGCTTAGAAGTACTTAATGCAGGTAAATATGTCCTTTGACCAGAATATTATATTTTTTATACTTCTCAGGGTGTTTCTGTTTCTGAAAGTGCAATGAAGCAGCAATGATCTTCCAGCATTCTTATGGTAAGCATAAAGACTGATGTGAACTTCTATGCTAAAACTCTGACTTGACAAAAGGCTGTGTCTTGTCATGCCTTTCGTTGGGAATTATACTAATGAGCTGCATCTTAAGCCTAGCTGATGTAATTCCTTCTAAATGACACAGATGCACTGCTCTAAATGAGTAAAATTAATTAATTCTAATAACTATTGCTCTAGCTTTGCTTCTCTTTGTCACCACTAATGGTGTTTCAATCCATGCAGGTTTCCTTCCCGCTTTGCTCAATTTCTTGAGCCTGGAGGAAGTTATCCTTAAATATCAACCAGGTCTCTTGGACCCCTCTTCCCACAGGATCTGTTGCTGTGGGATTCTTCCAAGAAGATCCCTAAAGAGGCTAAAGTCATCTGTCCTGAAATCCATGGTTGCAACCTTACTTGTTGCCCTGCTTCTTCCGTTCCCACTGCTGAATTCCACAATCTCACTGTCACCGCGGCCAAGGCAGCCCCACAACCTTCACATCTCTGACAAGGCCTTTCCTGTTTGTCACTATGAGGCAACAACCACACCATTCCTTGTGGGATCCTCCACTGCCTCTGTCAGGAAGCTGTCATCAATTTACAGGAGCTTCCTGGACTGTTTGTGCTTTGTTGTGTTACTTCAACCACCTGAACGAGGAATGATCTGGTGTGCTGATAAAAAAGGTATATAAAGTCATAGTAGTTAAGGTTGTTTGCTCAAGTTGATTTATGGTAATAACGAAGTAGAATATTGAAGTGTAATAATATGCAAGAAGTAATATAGAAAGTGTTGATATAAAGGTGACAAAATAGCTAAGAAAATGCATATCTGAATTGATATGGCTAAGAGATGACTATGATATTTTATGACAGGTCGAGAAAATATGGGTGGGAAGGATTTTTCTTTAAAGCAATATTTCAGGTAATTTCTGTTTGCAAGTGGAACCAGTTTGCACGACCACACTTTTAGTAGAAGAGAAAAACACTTAATTTAAGGAAACAAGGAGAATTTACAGCAGGTTTGTCATAGCGATGTTCAGATCCCAGTATACATCTGGCCCAATGCCCATGGATCTCTCTGAGATGAAGAAGAGTTTGTTCATACACATCCCATCACTCTGGGAGACATTATATGAGCAAAACCAGACTTGACACCCAAGCTGGGCTATGCTCCTCTTTTGCTTGCTCCTTTGCCTCCATAAATGGAATTCTGCTTTGCATTGGATCTCTACACAAAATTTGATTTTTTTGGGGATGTTCAGGTTTTTGATAATTGCTGATGGAAGACCACATTTGAGTGGTTGCACATAAATACACTTGTTATGAGCAATTTTACTTCATGTAAATAGCAACAAGCTGATTGCCTTGGAGAAGATTACATGGATGCAGGTTCAGAGGTACATTCTGGTGCAACACTAAGGACTCAGGCGATTCTGGTTCTGCTAGTCTGACCTAATGGCAAAAAAGAAAACAATAACTTCTACCAAGCTGAGTTCTACCAATGCATTTAGCTTGTAGATATTTGTAAGCTTACAGTTTTCTATAATTTAATAATAGTAGTGCAAGTTAATTGAATTTAGTTTAATCAAAACTGAAAGATGGTTAGCCTATGATTGATGAGAAACCTCTAAAAAAGATGTTCCAGACTTGACTACCTGACAGACTAGAAATTAGAATTGTTCTAGCTCTTAATAACAATTTACATCTCATTACATGTTTTCTGTATTCAAAATTAAAGCATTATTTTTCCTCATTTATTTACCCCAGGTGTACAGATAATAAATTCCTTCTGGTCTTCATTTTACTTGACTGAAAACAAGTCAGTTTCATCTAAACTCACCTCTTATGATGACTTGGTCATTGCTCAGAGCATACCAGTACTTATTTTTTACATCTGTTTTACATCTCATTTCCTTGTACCTAAATATGTGTTGTGAAATCTGTATTTTAAATTGGGCATCACATGACATTCACATTTGCCTAATTCAACTAGAAACAGCTTGACTGAAATACCTTTTAATCTTATTATTTGTTGCTGCTTCTCATTGCTGGTTAATGGCCTTCTTTTAATTAGCTATGGTACCTGTGTTTCTGTCCTTCTACTTCAGTTCTAGCTGATGCTAAAAATTCCTGTTATTTCTTCAATTCAGGATCTTGTATTTTATTTTACCATTAGATTTCTGTTTCTTTGTGTTTCAAAGTCACTTGATTCTTCCATATATCTCTTGAAAGTATTAACTTCATGGCTTTGTGTTATTGGTCAGTTTCTTAATTATTTTTTGTTAAAGAAATGAATGGTAACAATGAAATAATCAAAGTTCTAAAATACTGAGCAAAATTAGTGAGAAAATTTCTTGAAGGGTGTTATTCAAGGCAATGTCACATAATGTTCCCTCCATACCTTTCAAACCCTTTTCCTCTGTTTCCACTGCCTGTTTTTTCTGTTGTCTTAACTCCTGTATCCCTGTAATTTTTGAAAAGGCGAAAACCAATCTGCTCTGTAGCACAGTGTCTGAACTTCTTTCTGATTGGTCTTTTTAAGAAATACAATACCTCTGACAGGAAATTGAAACTTTGAGTTCTGTAACTTCAACCTCCATTTCAATAAACAAGAATAATATTTTTAGTAACTTCTTAACGTGAGCTACAACAGCAACCAGATCTTCCATTTTTATTTAATACAGAAAAATTCAATTAGTTAGTAACTCTTAATGTTTTCCCACTTTCATTCCATGAATAAACTCTGTCCTGAACTTGTCTGAGCTATTTCTGAAGTTTTTATGCTGAACATGAAAGTTTTCCTTTCTGCTTAATATTTTGTTAAACTGTATACCTCAGCAGGCAGTTCCTGAGCTGAAGTAGTGATGTTCAGCAGCCTTCTGGGTAATACAGAGTCTGTCAGTCAGAATGAAATCAGTGTAGTTCTTTGTGATGCCATGCAAATTCTAAATCCATTTAGCTGGGTTTTATCTTTTCTGGTCTTTAAAGACCAAAAATAAATTTGTTAAATTCATAATGTGTTACAGGCCATTCAGCAGCCAGTTCAGCTAGCAGGTATACATTTAGAAGGCAATTCTGCTCGATTAATCTAACATCTGAACTAAATATAATGCTTGTACTTCATCACATTGTGGAGATGATTTTAAAAGTTTTAAAGGAGCTTGTTTCATGGTAATGGCAAATCATGTATATGTATATTGAATTATTTCTATGCCTCGCAATAGAATCTGTTCTTTAAAAGTAATGTTTCTTAATAGCAACAATAACAAGGAAACAGAGAACTTGTGATTTTCTTGTTTTAAGCCATATGGTATCTGGTACATGAGTAGCTGCTCAACGTAGGAAGATCAGAAGAAGCCTCAGTAACCAATGCTTCACCTCTGCAGCACAGCCAGTTTAGACTCAGCTTCCCAAAGAAAGTTGGCATTGTCTTACATGTGTTGTCTTATCTCTGCTACCTTGGTACTAAATGTTGAGCAAGAAAGATGGCAAAGCTCTGCTCTGCTTCCAGTGTAACCAGGCAATAGAACTGACTGTCTTCAGAGGCAGAAGTTTAAAAGAAAATTAGCAAATGCGATAGGGTTGGAGACAAATATAATAATCCATGTCCATAATTGATCTTAGAATTAGACCAGATTTTTGGTTGTTTTTATTGATGGTTCAAATCATACAAATAGATACAAGCAGCCTTGTGTTTTAATTATTTTGAAGATGGATCATTACTAGTAGTCTCAATTACTTCATTTTTGGGGTTAATGACAAGCATATTCGTGACATTCATTCAATAACATTAATACTTAATTAATTTTGTGTAGAAAACCATATCACTGACTCATTTTCCTGTAAAAATGTTTGTCTTGTAATCTGATAATGAGTAACAAATAACACCAAGCCTTATGATGTGAGCAAAAAATATAGAAGATATGAGTAGGAGTCTGCTTCCTAATTCCTCTTGATAGAAATCAGAGGCTACCTCCATAATTTAGAGGTTAAATATTAAGTTTTTTTAAGATATTATGAATTCTACAGGGAAGAAAAACCATTAATTGTATAGTCAAATTTTGATGCATCTTGAATGTTTGAATGATAAACAAAGAAAAAAATCTATTCTTTTGGGGCAGTCAATTCTGACATAACCTTAAGGGTTATTTCAAGTGTGCAGGAGAGTCCTTATTTAATATAAAAATATTATAAATACTTTGAAAAATGAATAATTCGGAGATGTTAATTTTTTCAGGTTATTTTCTTCTTTCTCTCTGCCTTCTCCTAGGGGATAATTGTCCAAAGATAAAAAAAATCAAAATATTTCATACATTTGCATATGTTCTACTAGGTGTTTATTAGAAGAGTGATGATCAAGAAAATCGGTTGTGAAGACAAAGGATAAGGTTAGCAGGTCTTGTATTGGTTCTCAGATCTTCTGATAGTATTTTCAGAAGTACAGAATCAGGTCCAACTAATGTTTTGTCTAACCAAAGAACCTTAATTCATCTGACAACAGGCAGCATTTTACTTGTTAAACAAAGTGGTTTTTAAAGAAAAATCAGTTTTTTGGTTGATAGAGTTTTTTTTGTTTTTAAGGGACGCCTAACCTGAAAGGTGATGCAAGATCTCTATCATTATGGATATTTCTGCAGGGAGACCTGAAGACAAAGCTGAGTTTCAGAGTTTACTGTAGTTTCTGGAGTTCTGTTCTACATCCAAGACTATGCTATAATCTTTCTAAGCACATTCAGGAGATATAGGGTCAGGTTATTTAAGGCAAATGATTACCAAATGTCCTAGTGAAAATTAATTCATTCTCCCTGGATATTACTGCATCATGAAAATTTCCTATCAGTAAAGAAAAATAATTCTCAAGTAACTTATGTTAAGAATGGACTGATCATGATTACATTTTATCAAATAGAGGAGAACATGCCTATTTGCAAAGGGTGTTTTCCCTACCTCACAATGTAATTCTAATTTTGGTCTGATTAATTTTCAAACAGTTGTTCTTCACCCGTGAGCTCATCTCCATCAAAAAGTAGATTAATTTAGTCAGGATAATATACCTGAATGGTGTGAAGGCAAACAGAACTGTGTATCATTAGCAAACATATTCAAATTAGAGTCTGTAATGTCTAACCAGTTTTCTAAACAGTGGAAGATCTTTGTGTGTGAATTGTCTAAAATTTTAATTTCTTGCTTTCTGCCATGATGTATATTTGCTTAGGAAAAAGTAGGTATCACCCTAAGAGAACACATCCTTATCCAAGCAGCACAAAAACAGAAGTATACAATTGCTCAGGCTATGCAAGTTAAAGGAGCGGAATGCTGTACAAAATATGAAGTACCTGCTTAGATGGCACACTTCTGTCTGTAGAAACACTGAACAATGCAGGGAGATCCCAACAATATAATAATGAGCTTTATCCTTCTATCTATAGGATAGTCATAGCATGGCTAATGTGTTTTCAGTTCTGGATGCAGTGTATACAACATCAAAATTGCCGATAATGGATATGTGAGATTTAAGACACTTCTCTGAAATTACTGAGGAACAGAAAGGGTAGCAGCTAGCTATGAGCTAGCCAGATTAATTTTGACACAGATTAATAAGTCAGAAATCAATTTCCTCGTACTTTCTGTTGAAAGTAGAAAAAAAAATTCTTCAGTGTGTGAGAAGGGTCCACAAAAAGAGATAAATCACTGATATTTTCTGCAACTTTCTTATATGCTATATTTAGTATGTTTTTGTTAAAAGTAAAATTACTGGGTTTGAAATTACTGAGTTATTTTTCAGGATTGATCTAATAAGCATCATTAAATCTTTTTTCTCAGTGTTTGGTAGAAGAACTGAACAGCACTAGGACTTTGAGTCTCTTGGTAAGAGTAGTAGTTTAAGAAAATAGAGAATATGTAGAATCTAAATAAACAAAGGAGCTTCATAGAGGTTTCATACTTTCTTGCCACAGTTAATTTGCCTGAGGCATCACTGTAAGAAAACTGAGATTACTGCCACATTTATTGACAGTCTTCATGGTAAAAGTTTTTTTAGCATGCTCACTTAAAATATCGAAAGAGGGAAATGAGAAATGTTTTCATGTTCTTTCATTTCTTAGACCTTTGATGTGCTGGATGCTACCAGAAAGAGTATAATCAGCTATTTCAATGGACAGGGGACTCAGTGGAGAAAGGGTCCAAAACTTAAATGAACTTTTGCTACGTGATTTGTCTCTGAAGATACAACCAGTATATAAGCTCATCTTGGTCATGGGAATAATTCTCAAAGAAAAAAAAAAAAAAAAGATGTTTTTTGGTGAACAAGAATTCTTAGTTTTGATAAATTATGGTGAAAACCTATTTTATTGAAAAAATCTCACCCAGGCTGCTGGCTACAGTATACAGACTAAAGAGGTTTGCTGTAGGAAGTGCAGGTTGAGGCCTGTCTGTTTTATTCAATAGCCTCTGGGACTGATTTTCTTTACTAGGAGCCTGAGGACTAAAGAGGCTGTTATTTTAAGAATGTCTTGTTAAGATATAATAAGCCAAGGACATTTATTTTATTAGCTGTCCTGTAGTCTCCTAACTGACAAAATGCAGCTGAATGCTTGTGCATGGCCTTACCTGGGATATTTGTGATCAAGACTGGACACAAATCAGCTGAGCCAAGGGACAGATAAACTACATTGGAGTTTTCTAATTGTAAGAATAAAACTTATTCTATGTAGAATTAGCATATAGAAAAGAACTTATCAAAGTATATTCTATAGAACTCTATAGAATAGAATTCAGCAAAGCTATCCTAGAGCATGACTACAATATTTCAAAATCCATATGCAATATGTGAACCTGATCAGCAATTTGTTTAATTCTTTTGGATATTTGTACATCAGAGAAGCCAAAGTAGAAAATAACCATGACTTGTGGGCTGTGTTGTGAAATTTTGTTTTAAAAAGCACTTTCAAAGAATGCTTATTTCCAGATGAATCCTCTACCATCAAAGTGGGGAGGAGTTTGAGCCTTCTCCTTAGACAGCTTTTCTATTATGTTTGAGGGATTTCATTTCTGATAAGAGAGAAAAAAATGGGAGGAATCCTCAGATATGTATTTGGAGAAATCTTCAGATATATATTTGACAATATATGTAGGAATAGTTTGGGTAGAATAGAGAAATAGTTCATCAGCACAACATGGGAAGCTCTTATGAACAGAAGCAGACAGACCTGGACATTATTTTTATGTTAATAGAAAGAAAAAACCCTCAAAATGAAGCTAATAATAAAATTGTTAACAAGGGAAAATATATTGAAAGCCAGGTGTAGCAATCTAAAAAATAATCAAAAAGAGAAAAAAAGAAAGCCAGAAAGTCTCTGCTTGAAATTTTTTTTCAGCTACAGTATTATCAATAAAACATAAATACAGACTTTGATTTCGTTTTCTGTCCCCACAACTATAGAAGCAAACGGAAGCACTGGTAATTTTCAATGTGTTTTAAGAGCCCTCCATTAGATACAAAAGAATCATTGGAGGAAAGAACTCAGACCATATGTCCACAAACAAGCTCACAAACTAAAAGTGAAGAATAATATAAAATAATAGCAGAAACTTTTGATTCACTGTTGAGTGCTGGAGAATGAATATTGGCCAGAATCATGGAAAATATAACTCCAAATTACTCCTGACATGTGCCTGAGTGACTAACTGGTCTGGATATGTTCTCGTTTCAGATTCAAAGCACTAAAGAGACCAATAAATGAGGCTGTACACAGAAAATGTGCCTTTCTGTAAAGCACACCCATTTGAAAGAACTTTTCATCATTGTGTTCATGCTTGCATCTGCAGCATAAAGCAGAGGTCACTTGCTATTAGCTGGGCCAGTTCAGAGTTAAAAAGCGTCCTTAAAAAAAAAAAATCCGCCTAATCTCATTTTGCAAAATGGATAGAATGCACAATGCTATTGACCTCAGACTCAGATTAGCTTAATTTCATCCAATTTATTCTTGCATTGTTCAATTTGTGTATAAAAAGGAAAAGGAAAAAAGAGATGAATGGCATCTGTCACTTGTCCTAAGCCTGAGAGATTATTTGAAACCTTTTTGTGGCATGAATAAAGTTTTTCCTTGCCAGGCAACAGAAATATGTTTATGTCCTTGTAAAATAAACCAGGTCATTTAGAAGCATTATTAACAAACAAAGGATGTCAAGGATGGATTATTTGTGGTCTCAGTAGACTTCTATGAATATGAATGACACTTGCTGAATGTGCTGACATATGAAATGCAACAAAAAACTTTTTAATCAGAGCTACTAAACAAGTAGGTCTCAAAATGAACAAGCCAAAACCAAATGTTATGAAAATCAGTGTGGAAACTCATAGTCCTAAAAGAGATGCTCTGAGAGCTGTTGATGAGCTTCCTGATCTGGGCAGACTCATTTGTATCCATAAAATACGCTGTCCTGAGTATGTAGGCCAAACACTCTTTCCATAGACTGGATTCACATTAGCATTCTACAAAAAGCAAGTTCAGTTGATGGAGGTTCAGCAGTAAAAGGCAAAGGGAAACTAGAAAAGACAGGTCATTTCTGTAGGGACTCTGTGGTGTGACAGTAGCTAAAGGACTGTGTAAAGCTTTGGACATCAGTTTCCAGCAGGTTCTTCCTCGCTTGTAGAGCATACACACCTTATAGAAATTACAGTCCTAGTAGGAGCTGTATGTTAAAGATTTTCTTTGCTTTCCACATGTAGAGTTTTGGCAACTTAAATGCACAAAAATGCATGTGGGCACAGGGACTTGAAAGTATCTCTCAAGCTGAAATGTAAAGTAAGGCAGAACAGTCTCAGTCCTACTGCTCTTCTAGGATGTTCCTGTTGTTTCCCTGTCTGTCCCCGGGCCTAAGGGGCAGCTTGTTGATTAATGCTGATGGAAGCTGGCATAAATCAGGGCTGGATCAGGATGGTGACAGGAGGCTGTGCCTGCTGCTCCTGGCTGCTACCTGTTTTGGCATCATCATGCTGAGTGATGGGCAGGGTCAGTTCAATGGGATCAGCCTACAGCTGGGGGAAAAGTAAACTCTGAGCATGGATGCCATGACACACTAGCAGCATTTCAGTGCTCTGGCATCCCTGACAGGGAGCTGGCTGACTGAAAGGCCAAACAGAGCTTTAATTGCATTATTGGTAAGCTGATTTAAAAAACAGTATGTGAGAGAGGGAGAAATTGAGAAATCTACATGGCACAGACATGTTTTTATTACTGTGAACCTATTTTCTGTATCCTTTTTAATCTTCCAACTTTTAAATAAAATGTAAACCTAGATAAATAAATGATTAATACATACTTCTTCTGATTTTACTTTTCTGTTATTTCACCCTTCTTTTCACAGACTTTAATCTGTTCTTTAACTTATAAAGCTTTTAAATTCAAGACTTCTTACCAAATTAACTTTCTATAAGATCTCAAAGAGAATAAAATCTTGGGTTCTAGCTAATTAGATTTTGCTTTGAATAGTAGTGTATTTGAATGTTGTATATTGTGAGTTACAAGCATGAGTGTTTTCAATCAATAAATAATCTTGAACTTTAGAAAAAGTTTTAAACTCTGTAATAAATATGTTTTAAAATTTGTAATAAATACATTGATTAAGCTTTGTAATAAATGCATTGATAGTTAATTAAATACATTCCAGTTATCATCATAACCACTTAAATCAAAGACTATAGACTATCATATCTAAAATTACCCTTTCATAGCCTGACTTAATCAGAAGTCATGACAGTAAATGTTCACTGAATATATATATATATATATATATATACGTGTTTTAGTTTTGAGCAGTCAAGAGCAGGATTAAAATATCCAAGTTAACATACACAGGACAAGGTTCAGTGTCTTGTTTTGTGTGGATTTAGCAACTATGGCATGTATAAAGAGACAGAATTATGCAAAGAAATGTGCCAATCTCTCAGGTTTATGAGTAAACCAAATTTTCGTTTATTTCCCTATCTGTGTGTCTATGTATCTGTGTATGTATAAATCTATCTATCTATCTATCTATCTATCTATCTATCTATCTATCTATCTATCCATCCATCCATCCATCCATCCATCCATCCATCTAAATATAAAATAACATATAAAATAACATGTTCATATTATTGTGCAATAACATTTTTATTCTTCATAACACATTCCATTATCAGTGTCAAGTTGGTTCTCCATAAAAAGTCTGATATAATACATTAAAGGGAATTAATTTTAATTATTTCACAGAAGTGTGATGACTTACTCCCACTTATTATAGGAATATATAGGGGAATCTTGAATAGAGCATAAAAATACTTGATCCTTATTTCTTTTATAGCCCTTTAGGATGTATCATGTCAAAGGACTGCAAGCACATAAAACATATTAATTTATACTCTATGACATTTTGATATTTGTGTCAGTGCAATTCAGGAGGAAGTTGTTTATGGGGATACTGGCTATGTTGTTTCTGTTTTTTTGCAAGGAGGCTGATAATTAAATTCAATTTGATTGAATTCAATTCAACACACTAAGTTGATACTGTGATCCCTGTCTGGTTGGTATATTGAAATGGCCAGATGAGACATCTGCATAGGCCTGGCAGATACAATCTGGGTTCTGTGCCCCCCTGCAAGAGAAGCCAAATGCCAGATCAGGCCAGGCAACTTGGCATTAGGTGACACCTGACATTAGGTGTCTACAAGGTACAATTCAGTTAGAGGTTCAAATTACTAAACAGAGGTGTCTTCACATAAGCAAAGCCCAGATTCCTACTACAGCCAGTGGAACACTTGTCTGTAGAATAATAGGCACCGAGCATATGCAAAAGCTGCATAAAAAGAAGTGTGT